CTCTCTCTCTCTCTCTCTCTCTCTCTCTCTCTCTCTCTCTCTCTCTCTCTCTCTCTCTCTCTCTCTCTCCCCCCCTCTCTCTCTCTCTCTCTCTCGTGCGTGTGCGCTCGCTTAACCACACAAACGTGGCCAGCCTTGCATCTTCTACTATACTGTCTATCTATACGATGGTTTGCGATGATTATTGGATGGAACGAGAGAGAGAATTTGGGTTTTTTACACACACACAGAGGAGCCGCTATGCTTGTGCATTCCTTTGGCCCCCTCATAGCTTGTGGCCTCTTCTTGTGGTGTGCCATACAAAGAACCACATTCTGCTGTCAGCATTGGACATATTGCTTCCACATGCCTCACTTGAATTTTACATGTCCTGTTTGGGCACATTGCTTGGGTCAAATGCTTTCATACTGCATGTTGATTCGCGCATGAATTGTCTAGCAGCTTCTGCTGTGCATCCGTCTGCCATGTTGGGGGCAGTATCGAGGATGTAAATTTGAAACGGAATCCCGCCTTTCTCGTCCCCCTTCCTTTCCCTGCATTCCCCACACCTTCCCTTCTGACTCTATTCTCAGACTTGGCTGCAATAAGGACCTACATTATCCCGAACTACACCAACTGAGTCAGTAGCTAAGGCTTGCAGCCAAGCCTTAGCTACTGACTATAGTTAGTGTAGTTTAGAATAATGTAGGTCCTTATTGCAGTTGACTGGTAGAAAGATAGGCTGAGGCCATTCCCATTTTTTAAATGAGCTGTCTCATCTACGCATGTGTGCACATACGTACATGAAGACGTGAGCTATCGCAAATAAGCGAAACACCACTTCAAATCTATCCTTTTCAAAAAGATGATCAACTCCAACCTGAAATCTTAAACTGGAGATACAAATGTCTTTTACAGTTTTACTTCTGCTGCTTTTCCTTCATATAGCATGTTGCCTTTTACTTCTGCTACTTTCCCTTCGTATAACCAACACATCTTCAAACGTCTTTCGGCAGAGAACTTGCTTTGATTCATCGCGTTCTGTCGCCTAGGTTCTCATCACTGTCCTGCATTTCACTGTGATTCGTCTCACCGTATGCTTAAATTCTGCTCAGCTTTCCACAAGCGAGATCACCTTATTCTTCCCTACCATCGTCCGACTGCCTCAGGCCCCTTCCATATTATCCACAGCCCTCCTGTTCTTCTGACACCAACAATCGGGGTACCTGCTTGTCAGTCGGCTAACCTGAATCTGTTACAGTTGAACAACGTGGACGGCTGCAGATAGCCGTGATTTACAGCTGGGATGCGCCTCGAAGTGGAGCAGTCAGAAGATGCGCTAGCCGCGACCGCTGTTCACTACGGGCAAGGCCGTTCGACTATCTGAATTTGAATTGGTTTTCAAGTCACTCAACGTAGGAGTAAGGTAACAAAAAAAGTTACCGTGGTAGAGGTAATTCGGCAAACGGTTCTGGTGTTGGATTTTGAAACCACGAACGGGGCGACACTTAGGATAGAACAAACTGAGACAAATAGTATAAAACAATTGAGATGGAAATAATAACAATGCAGTTAGAGGTTTACATCTCGTAGCATAACCACATCTTAGAGAGCGTGAAAAGCCTTCATGCTACAGAACAGACCTTCTCCTCTACTACTCAGCCTGTTTAAAGAGCTACCGCTCCCTTTCAATAAATACTCTCCTAGCTCACCTCTAGATCCCCGGCGGCTACTACTTCTGTCTGCATTTCCCGCCTAAGCCAGGTCCTGCTAAGCACCCCTGCCTTGGGATAGTGCAGGTTATTCCCCCCATATTTCAAAACACATTGAAGTGCCAGCATTTTTTCTGCCGCAAATACTCCTAGACACGCGACACTTGTCACTTCAGCTGTATTTAAATAGGAAAAATGAAAAAAACAAACATAAGCTTGCCAAGTCACTTGGACTCAGAACATGTGTTGATTTGCACAATCGTCCCGGTCACGATTCATATTCACCCGTCGTCAGGCAGATCTTCTGCTCCTTCTCCCTTGGCTCCTTCCTGCAGGGATATCGCGCCAATAACAGCAGTGTGCCGTTCGTCTTGCTGAAACCTGTGTCCATCCTGACTTCCCGAAGGTGGCTCATTTTTTTTCATCTTTCTTCTTTCCCATGTCCCATAACCAGCCTCATTGCCGGGTATCAACTGCTATCTAGGGGGGCCGTGGTCCAGTTTCCAAATCGTCGACTTATCCCCAGAACTCGTAGCACGCCCTAAAAGCTTCACTACCATTTCGGACAGAACTGAGTGGAGTATGAGTGGAAGGATTGAGTTCCTCAGCAGTGTTGGCTGAGGTGCAGGCAGCGAAGACGTCGATAGCGCCATGATAGTAAACCTCATGCCATCATCTTCTTTATGATATTATATCTGCAAGCCTGGTAGCATTGAACAGTTTTCTGGAGAGATTTGCTCTTGTCAATCTTTAGCTGTAAGAATACAAAAAGTGTCCTTTGGGAATGGCTGATCAGGTAGGTCTTCCCATACAGTGACGCCCTTTCGCCAAAGTTCATCTGCATGCAGGCACTCTACAAAACAATGAGACAAGGATTTTCAATCATTCGCTGTGCACACGTTTTGCAAAGCAAAGCAGGGTATCTTCTGTGCGCTGGCTCTCGTTTTATTTCCGAGATCCAGCCATTGACTAACTGGGACCGCTTGATAAAACAAGGGCCCCTGCAGACCTCTCTCACTCTTCCCTCTGTGGTCAGGTAGGAATACAATATCGCCCCCAAGATATATAAGTGTTGCATCGATTCCGAAGCGGTTTGCATGTCTTTTCTCCATCTATCTGCAGTAGTTAGCAACTTGGCATTGAATCTTCTGAATTGTCTCGGAGTCAACAACCTCGATTGACAGTACATTCCCGTATTGTTATCACCCAACGAGGACCTCTTTCTCTCAAAGGTATATACTATATACCATCCCCGGTCTGCTGGATCAAACTCTAGATCCTCTATACCCTGATTGACCCGATACATGAAAGGCAGCTCAGCCTGCATGTCCAGATGCCGTGTGCATTGCCTTTTTCTCTTCCTCTCTCTACGCTGTCGTTGTGTTCCTGTTTCTTGTTTCCGACTTCAGCGGTTTCCTTAATGTCCTGTGCTTTCTTAGCTGCGTAGTGTTAAGTTCTAAGGTAGTAAATACTAGTAATTGCCTCCTCAAATATTTCTGCCAGCATTTTTTTGTTAGGGTCTTTGTTTTTTTCGTTTTTTTTTCTTTTTGTTTTCCTTTCTTTTACCATTTCTCGATCGATTTATGCATGTCATCCTTGAAAGCGCAGGGGCCATGCTAATCTTCTCTTTCTCTGTGTCGTTCCAATTTTAACGGATGTCCCCGACTTTTTTTTTTCCTTTTTCCGTTTGTTTTCTTTTTTTTAAGAAGACTAGGCTCCATCTATTCTGGGTGGCGGCAGTCCGGTTGCTCATCACCCGGCAAGCAAATGTTCAAGACATCGGGGAAGAAGTAACTCAGACAAGGCAAGACCGGCCTACTGCCCCTGCCGCCCGAGACGCTTCACATGGGGGTCTGGAGGGGCAGCACTACGAGCCATTGCTTGTCCTTCACGCTGGGGTCTTTAATCTCAAGTACTTCAAACTCTGCTGTCCCCTGTTGTACATTAGGGACTTTTCTAAATTCGGGGGCTGCCGATGGTCTGACCTCAGCTTTTGCAGTAGCCCAATCCCCCTCTTCTTTGAGCTGTTGTGTTTGTGCCAGGGGGATGCTGTTCCCATATTTCTCCAGATGTTCTTCTAGATTGGGACACCCTTTGAGGATATCCCGAAGTCCTCTCAAGTTTCTTCTGGTATTAGATCTCTGATTCTGCAAGCATTTCGCCTGCCACACTCCCTTTTCCACCCATGCTCGCCATCTTCGCTCTTTGCCCATTAGTTGCGAGGGCCTGTCGTCCCCATCTGATACATGCACAGTTGGGCAATGTATATGGAGCCAAGGATCCACAGAGTGATGAAAAAGACTGGAATGGACAATGCAATGTCAGCAAAGTATCAACAAGCAATGTACATTCCGATACATACAAAATAGCACAATGTAGCGCAGTGGAAGACTCAAAGATAAGACCTGACCTGTCTGAGACTGATGCGACATCCCATCATACATCACACATGTGAGAGAGGGAGGACGGACCGCATACACAGAAGAAAGGTCCCTCCTTGCACACGCACCTGGGGGAGATACCACGGATGAGAGATGGTGGGAGAGGCAAGACAAAGATGGAGGCGAGGGAGAAGACCAAGATCGCAATAGCGAGGTCCAAAAATAGTCCCTTGCCGACTGTCCAATCAATGTCTGCTACAAAAATGTCGGATCAGATCCTGGGCCAAATGCCCGAAGTAACCTCTGCCTGTAATCTCTCTCTCTCTCTCTCTCTCTCTCTCTCTCTCTCTCTCTCTCTCTCTCTCTCTGAGGAAGAAGAAGAGGAAGGAGGAAGGAGGAAGGAGGAAGGAGGAAGGAGGGAGGCGAGATGGAGGGCGAGACAAAGAAGAAGAAGAAGATGTCGTCCTCCTTGCTGTCTCACCTGCAGGTAACTGCGGCCACGTACTGATCACCGTTGTCGTCGTCGTCATGTGCAGGTCGGCGCGCGGAGTCCCAGCTATGGTGCCAGGTAAGTCCGCCGCTGCAGGTATGGCCTTCGCCCCTCTGCCTACCTACACCTCTACCTCTACCTCCTCGCGCAGCGCTGTAGTGCAGTGCCAGTCCAGCAGTGTGTCGCTCAAGAAGTGAGCTACTCGAATTGTGTGTGTGCTCAGCCGAGGCCCAGCTATATGTAGCGCTGGGCCGGCTGGGTGTGCTGCTGCGTTGGCCTGAAAACGGCCCGCACGGTCGGGGCCCCTACCGGGCGTCCAGACCGTGCTGCTGATGCATCAGGACGCAAAAATGTGCCTGGCCTGTATCAGCCCTGCCTTCTAGTGTACCCAGCCCAAGGCATCGCCTTGGGGACTGCAAGTCCAAAACAACGTCTGAACAGACAAAAATAGGACAACAATAATTAAATAAATAAACAAATGCGAAGAAGGTATAGACGAGGAAGACGCACATGCCGACGTCAATCTGTTGTTCGGACTGTGTAGCGGGAGCTCAACGGCGATGACACGTAAGCTCATCATCAATCCCCACCCTGACGGCGATTGGGGTGATGCGGCGCTCGTCGGTCGGTCGGGCGGGGGGTCGTCGATTGGATCGCCGGCAACAAAGAAGACGAGGGACCGACACTGTCTGCAGTCGAAGTCGGCGCCGGCAACACGCCCCGAAGTCGTTCGTTCGCAGCGAATGCAATTGCCATCGCCATTGTCGGGAGGTCAGGTGAGTGGAAGGCGCTCGGGTGGGGGCGGTGTGGACGCCAGATTTGCAGTCGACGTCGATGAGCGGACGGGTCGGCGGGTGTGGGCGGAACATCGGCAACAGCTTCGTGGAGATCGTGAAGACGCGATAACGAGGGGGGTTCGACAGCTGCATGTCGGCGGAAGCGACACAGATAAAGAGGCGGCAGTGGAAGTAGACGACTTTGAAGACATGGACGAGGAAGACGAAGACAATGAAGAGGCCGCTGTGGACATTCGGCCTGTGGGCAGGACGTCCATGGGTGGTTGGGGAAGAAGCAAGAAAGCTTATGCTGCACATGGACGACAGACGAAGAAGACTGCATCTGGCGGGAGCGATGGCGAAGGTGACATCGACGTGGACAGTGGGAGGAACTTCTGGTCGGTGGACCACATGGTCGCTCTCGTGAGTGCGAAACGGGATCAGGATGCACACCTGGAGGGTATGGGGCACGCATTTGCCCGCATGAAGCCAAGGGAATGGAAGTGGCAGGATGTTCATGAGACATTGAAGAAGGTGGGCGTCGCTAGGAGTGGCGAGAACTGCGGGAAAAAATGGGACAACTTGATGCAGCAATTCAAGAAGGTGCACAGGTTCATGCAGGAGTCCGGGAAACCGGACTACTTCCAACTGACGGGCAAGGAAAGGAGATCACACGGATTCAACTTCGTAATGGAGCGGGCGGTGTATGAGGAGATCAAAGGATCGACAACGAAGAATCACACCATCCATGAGAGGAACGTCGCTGACACGGGTGCGCCGGGTGGTGTTGAAATGTCGTCCGGCTCGTGGGGGGGAAGAGGCGATGGCGGAGGGGTGGGCGACGTAGGTGGCGAGCCACAGGAAGAAGAGGACGGGTCGACTAAAGGTTCTTCGTTTAGTACGGGTAGCACTGCAGGGTTGGCGAAAAGGAAGAACATAAGGCAGTAGACGTTCGAGGCGTTGACGGACGGAATGGAGAAGCACGACACACTGATGGTGACGACCTTGGAGAGCGCGAACAAGAGGCAGTGCTCGATGTTGATGCAGCAATGCGAGCTCATGGAGTTCGAGGTGGACGCCCAAAAGAAACACTATGCGGTGTCCGATGATGTCAGCAAGCTCATGTGCCACGCCCTCATGGAAATAGCGAAGGCTATCCGGGAGAGATAGCCTTCTGTAAGCTGCGTCCACGCGCCGATGTSCACCCCCGCCGTACCGTCGCCGTCATTCTAAGAAGACGTGTGAGTCGACCTCGTTGTCGATGACGTCCACAGGGCCGACGGCCTCCAATGTAGCCCTGCTGTTACTTGTGCACGTCTACACTGCTGAAGTCGTTGTGGTTGAAGCGTAGAATTGCAGACTTCATGGCACGAAAGTGGAAGTCCACTTATGTTGCCTTTTGTTTACAAATTAGTTTATTCGAAAAACCAATGTTCGTTGTTTTTTTTTACTATGAATCTGTTTCAGGTAGTGCTGTGCACAACCTAGTCCACTGGATCTTCGTCGATGGAAGAAGCCAGGAATGGTTCCTGCTTTCGTTAATACAATTTCAAGGGTCGACGATGTCATTCGCTATTCTCTTCCTTCTCTCTCTCTCTCTCTCTCTCTCTCTCACACACACACACACACACACACACACACACACACTCTATGTGTGTGTGTGTGTGTGTGTGTGTGTGTGTGTGTGTGTGTGTGTGTGTGTGTGTGTGTCTTTGCAAAAAAGTGAATGTTGTCTAATTATGGTGTCCTCATAGTCGAATCGTGCTCCTTTTGATTTACCAGAAGTGGAAGCTGAGTTAGTTGCAGGCGATAACGTAGAATATTCTTCCATGGGTTTTGCTCTTTTTTTTTTAGGGGTGTATGCTAATATGATATTGGGTGGTTGGTTGCCCATCATGAATATGGCTATTCTTTATTGGATTCCGGGCTCGATTTGGTTCAGTATAAAGGCCGAAGGCTTTCTGTTTTTATATATTTGGGTTCGTGCGTGGGATTTCAAAGATAAATGGAAATGGAGAAGTTGAATTCCATGTCTTTACTGCAGTCCATGAACGAATGTGTGTGTGTGTGTGTGTGTGTGTGTGTGTTTGCAAAAAACTGAATGTTGTTTAATTATGGTGTCCTCGTAGTCATGAGATTTCAAAGATAAATGGAAATGGAGAAGTTGAATTCCATGTCTTTGCTGCAGTCCATGAACGAAGAAGGTCGTGTCTTTAATGCACTCCACGTCGAAGGAAGGTCATCTGTTTAAACGAAATGAAGCAATCCAAATGTGGAAAACAAAACGAAGACGACGTACTTTGGCATATGTTTAATGCAGTCCATGCACGAAGAAGGTTGTCTTTAATGCAGTCCATGTCGAAGGGGGCCCGTGAGTTCAAACGAAACGAAACAATCCAAATGTCGAAAACAAAACGAAGAGGATGTACTTGGGCAGTTTTTTTTTTTTGGGTGGTAGGGCGGGAGGGAGAGGTTGGAATGGGGGGCTTCGACTTATTGTGGGGGACGAAGACGCCTTTGTGTCGTACGTACGTGGGGAGATGGGGGTGTTTGGTGGTTTCGGGGGTTGGGGTTTAAGAGAGCGTTGGAATTCGACAGCGATGTTGGGGTGCAAAGGGTGAGTCGAAGCGGCCTGCGAATGGCAATTAAAAAAAGGAGGGGCCCGAGAGGCTAGATGAAGGGCGGACGTGTCATAGTCTGTCGTCCATTTTCTTGCGAGATGATTCGTCGTCGCCGCCCATGCCCTGCATTGCACCCAACATGTCCCTTCGACGTGGATATAAATGGCAAACCCCCACCGTCGTCCGTAGGCAAGGGCTTCGCACTTTCGTCTCTCGGGTCACCGCGCATCCTATCATTCGAAGGCCCGCCATCTCGCCCCGACTTCTCCATCTTGCGCATCTGATCTTGACCTCTCGCGTCCGATCTTGACGTCTCGCCTCTGCCGTCTAGCCTCCGTCGCCGTCTCGCCTCTGCCATCTAGCCTCCATGCCGTCTAGCCTCCGTCGTCGTCTAACCTCCGTCGCCGTATCGCCTCTGCCGTCTAGCCTCCGTCGCCGTCTCGCCTCAACTTCTCCATCCTGCATGTCTGATCGTGATGTCTCGCGTCTGATCTTCACGTCTCGCCTCTGCCGTCTAGCCTCCGTCGCCGTCTCGCCTCTGTCGTCTAGCCTCCGCCGCCGTCTCGCCTCTGCCGTCTAGCCTCCATCGCCATCTCGCGTCCGATCTGCCATCTCACGTCCGATCTTGACGTCTCGCCTTTGCCGTCTAGCCTCCGTTGTCGTCTCGCCTCTGCCGTCTAGCCTCTGCCGTCTAGCCTCCGTCGCCGTCTCACCTAAACTTCTCCATCCTGCGCGTCTAATCGTGACGTCTCGCATCTGATCTTCACGTCTCGCCTTTGCCGTCTAGCCTCCATCGTCGTCTCACCTCTGCCGTCTAGCCTCCGTCGCCATCTCGCCTCTGTCGTCTAGCCTCCGCCGTCGTCTCGCCTCTGCTGTCTCGGCTCCGTCGCCGTCTAGCCTCCGCTGTGTAACCTCCGTCGCCATCTCGCCTCTGCCATCACGCCTCTGCAGCCTAGCGTACGTCAACTTCCTCTGCCATCTCGCGCCTGCCGTCTAGCCTCTGCTGTCTACCTTCTGTCGCTGTCTTGGCTCTGCCATCTCGCCTTCACTCCTCGTCGTGATGTCGACGCGTGGCGCTGGCCGAGGCGGGAAACGCGACGTCAACCCCGTTGAGAGGAAAGGTCGGCACGTGCCTAAGGGGAAAAAAACACGTGTTGGTGGCACTTCGGGGAGCATTGGTGCTGGACGTAGCGAGGGTGGGTGCGGCTCGGGCATGTGGAAAGTGAAGACGACGTGTTCATGGAGGAGGAGTTGCACGACAACCGACGTCTTGGGCATGTGGAAAGTGAAGATGACGTGTTCATGGAGGAGGAGACAGCCGACGTGCAACACCACAAGGGGGCAGCATGCTTCAAATCAGAGACACACAGCCTCCTCAGCCTCGGCAACCACGTGTGACGACAAAGCGTCTTCGAGAGGACGTTGAGATTGACGTCGATGTGGCGGGTGTTGGGGGGATCTTGATGCTGCAGCTTCTGGTCGACTAGTAGGTTCTACGGGCACACAACGTCGGGCGGTTTAGGAGGTCCATCAAACTGTCGTCGGACCATCAACCCTGCTGACCCCGCGTCGCCGGGCAGTTAAGGAGACGGAGTCATCAACGTCGCTGACCCCGCGACGTCAAGCAGTTCAAGACGAGGCCGTATCAGGTGCGTTCCAACGCGCGGTTGGCAGTTGTGGCACTGGCGGCGCTGGTGGCGTGGTTGCAGCGGCAGGCGCTGGTGGCGCTGTGCTCACGAGAGCGGCGGGTGGTGCGGCGCATGCCGTCAACAACACAGATGATGAAGACGAGGAACCACTGGCGAACAGGGTGTGGAGAGGGAATGGGCCGATTGTTTTGGCGGAGCAAACAAGGTTGTGGGTTGACGACAACCGATTCTGGAACGATACAGAAGACAATCGGATGTACAAGATCGTCAATGGCACGCGAAACTATCTTGTCTCCGTCGTTAGAGGTGTGAATCCTCTCTCGCGCAGCGTCGTCCTTCCGCATTCTTCCATCGCGCAGGGGACAATAACGGACGAATCTCAGTTGCGCGAAGCTACGGAGAGGGCAGCAAAGGTGCAAAGAGTGGTCATGCGTGTGATCCATGGTTGGATCTTCAAGTCGACCAGCAGGTCACAAGGATACACAGCCGCGTACGGGTACCTGCTCCAACACGTGGCAACAGACATCACACGCGCGATGTGGTGCGCTGAAGAATGGAGTGTGTGTGTGAGCTCCGTTGTTTGCCACGTCACCCTGGAATTGGGCATGCAGGTCCCTCTGTGGTTCGTCAGCACACACATCGAAGACAGGCCTGAAGACGACGAACTCGCGATATATCAAGAGGAGACGTTGCAACGCCTTGTGGCTGGTTTCACAAGCGCGGTGGTCGTGGCTGAGCTTCAAGATGGCGGCCGCCTGTCACATGACAGGTTGAAAAATGTGGCGGAGGGGATGAAGGTTTTTGTGGTCGTCGTCATGTGGTTGATGCGCATGTCAGGACATGATCTGCGTTCACACTACGCGGCATCCTTTTTCGTGCAACTAGCGGCGAAGCCGACCCTCCTAGCTTCAATGCATTGCTCGTTCGACGCGCGTCGACACATCACGCAAGCCGCGAACGTCGTCACGGAGCGGCTCTGCAAGCCCCCCATGGTTTTAGCGGATTCCCCTCATTACATCCTAGACTGGGCGTCTTGTGGTGTGAAATTCGGACATGACGCAAACTTGCCATCACCTGATGATGCGAAACGTTTAGATTGGTTGGGAACGGGACCTCTTGAAGAGGAGGACGATGACGACGGCGAGCAGCAAAAAGTAGGAGGGCGGTAGGCGGCCATCATTATGGCCATCACCCAGCAGTAGAAAGCAAGAGGCGGGTAGGCGGCTCAGACGCGTTGCAGCGGGGAAGGCAGTGTTAGAGTGTGTAGAAGGGTCCTTCAGGTTGTTGGCCGTCCTCGTTCTCTCTACATTTCAGTCGTACATTAAGACTTTTTCACCAACGACTCTCTCTCTCTCTCTCTATCTATCTATCTATCTATTTATCTATCTATCTATCTATCTATCTATCTATCTATCTATCTATCTAGCTCTATCTATCTATCTATCTATCTATCTATCTATCTATCTATCTATCTATCTATGTATATATGTATAATATATATATATCGTCACAAACAGAACTGCCCGGTAAACCGTAAGCAGAGAGAGAGAGAAGAGGACAACAAACGAGGGGCTGTGACAAACTGTTTCGTCGGAGTTTCACCGACTCATCAGGAGGCTGAACCCTCAACAGTCTGCAGAATCCCCTCACTAATTACACTGTAAATGATAATCTACCTTAACCAAAATCAAAGTAGACTATCACTCACCCACACCAGAGACGTCTGGAAGACGACGAATTGGTAGAGGGAAGCAATCGGGCAGACGTTTTGTGAATTCTGTATATCTTCTTCATTGTTCGTTTTTGTGTTTATGAAGTGCACATCTGTTGTGTGTATTTCCCTATGGCAGACAAGTTGTGATGGCATTGACAGTTTTCATTGTTTCTGTTACGATCCTGGTCATTTCCCAAGTGCAAATTCACAATGAAAGACAATGCCACCCAATTGCGAAAGAAATGAAAGCACTTGCAAAGAGATAAAGACCGAAGGAGAGGTAAAGAAGAAGAAGAAGAAGAAGAAGAAGAAGAAGAAGAAGAAGAAGAAGTACACCAGCAAGACCAATGACAATTCCCCCTTCTCTCTCCACCTTCCTCCTCCTCCTTCTCTTCACCAATCTTATTCTTCTCTCAGTAATAATAATAACAATGAATGGATGAACCAGCATCAATATCCGAAGTTCCCTCTTACTGCTGACTCGACTCACAACAACAACAACAACAACAACAACAAGTCCACGATGGCTATGGCTTCCCTCCTTCAACCTCCTCTCTCATGCATAGGCCATGGCGGACTACTGGGAGGCAGCTATGATGCTGCCCTGATGTCCAGAAGACAACCCAAAGCAGCTATGCCGCTGCTTGACTTGGTCCTCTATGCCTGACTCTGCCCCGAGCTGCCCTGGTGCAGCGCTACCCTAACTGGGGCCTTCCAGATGCAGCACCCAACAAGGTGATGAAGACGGTGTCCACCATAGCCAGGTAAGTGCCCTGCCACTCTCCTACCTTACCCCCTTCTTCCTCCTTCAGGCTGGGTTGCTCGCCATAGCCAGGCTGAGCTCCCAGCTACCTTCACCTCCGCCCARYGCTGTAGCAGACCAGCGCTAGCGCTCCAGCAGCATGACGCCAATCCTTGCATACCGCAAATGAGGAAGAGCTCTTCGCTCTTCCTGAAGATATAGCGGCCTACCGGCCTCCTGGGCGGTGACTTCCTAGGCCGAGYGGCCTCCCAGCAACYRGTACCTCCTCCCTTTCGGAGGGAAACATCATTGCAGGCTCTGTTATTGTCCGSACAGGCCCTAGACCCGGGCTACTTGGACTGGTACCGGCCTACCTCTAACCTACCGCTACTGGGCCTTTAAAAATGCCAACTTTTTGTCTTCTTCTGCTCGGCCTACCTGTTACTTGAGTGTTTTTCCCCAGCTGCTCTAAGTGTCGTGGGCCTACCCCCCGCTACCTGAGTGTTTAACCCCCTGCAACCCTCAAAGTCACGGCCACAGGTAAGTACCGGCCCTGCGGGGCCTTGCAACCAACAAGTACCCTTGTGGGTCACACACGCACTCAACCGACAAGCACTCAGACAGGCATGCAAACGGGCAGGCAGCACACACACACAGACTTGGAAAGCACAGCAGAATGCGGGAATCACAGCAAGGCATTCATTCCAGTGGCAAATCCCAGAAATCGGCAGTGTTCTCAGTCTGTGTTTTTGGCGGGTCATTACAGTTTCACAAAAGAGGTGTAAAAAAGGTGTAATGTATGTATGTGGAGAATCATTGTTTGCATATAAAAGGTAGTCAAAGCACGAGGCAATCAAAATATGCATGCAATTCCACTTAGACGACGGACACACACCCACACACACGAGCACACAGACACACACACAAGCACGCACACACACACACACACACACACACACACACACACACACATGCACACACGGCGCTACAAAAGACAACGCGGACACTCAAACGCTGCGTAATTTAAACACGATAAATATCAACGACGATGTCTCTCTCAAAACAAGTTGTAATATGTAGAACGACGGTTGTAAACAAACACACGCTGGTAGCGTAAATAATGGCGTCCGTCTGGGGACTTCCACCGCCGATATGAAAAATGCAATCATTTCCAAGACACACCCTATCACTGGCTGCACTGAGCAGAAAACGGACTGACACTGCCGAAGAGGAAGGAAATTTCTACGTTCCAAAAAAAAAAGGGACTGCAAAAACAGCACGAACATTTCAAACACACCCTGATCGAAACAATCACGACCTTCGCGGGTACTCATGGACGCTACAAGTAGCTCCAAGGACGTAATATTCTAAAAATGAAGACGACGACACAAGACCCCACCCTTCCGTCATTCCACGCATCCCTGGACCGATGCCAAACCCGCCATCCTCTCACCACATCTCTCCACTGAGGATGGGCATGCTATGGACGAGGGGCGTCACTAATCGAGCTTCATCCGCTCCGCCAACGCGTCCCTCAGAATGAGCGCATCACCTGTTGAACTCTCCATGCACACTGGCCGCAAGGGGCGATGAATCCCGAGGTCGACGTGGCGCCGCACTCCGTGGGCGTCCACCTAACACATTCTCGTCAAACGGAATCTCTGCGTCGATGAGGATGTTGTGAAGGATGCAAACGACTACGAATTGTTGCGGCAAGGTCTCCATATTCGGCTTGTGCGTCTGCGGGAACAGCCACCACATCCCCTTCAGCCTTCCGAAACCCCTTTCCACAGCCCCTCTTGCCACCTTCTGTTTGTTGTCGAAGCGCTCCTCCACAAGGTGCTGACCAATGCCTCCATAGGGTACAACTATTGCAGCGGGCCTTCATCTGCCCTGGCCTACAGCCAGGGCCTATTTGGCTATTTGCCAGTTCGGCCTGTGGGACCAGGCCGTGGCCTGACCCCACAGGCCGTATATTGTTTCAGTCCAGTCCAGTCCCGCCCGGTACCACGGTCGGTACCAGGCCAGTCCAGTCCAGTCCAGTCAGTCCGCTGGGGGTATACCCCAGCTGCAGTCTGTTTTTCGGCATTCTTCACTTTCGCAGATCTTGGACTACTTGCGTGTGGAGTCTGCGTCGGAGCTGCGCTGTCCCCTCCAGCTCCATCTCTGCCTCCTTCTTCGTCTCCATCCTAACGGACCGTCATCCCGGCGGGTCCGGCACACTGGTATCAGAGCGGGAACGGTCCCGGCTCCAACCCGCCCTTCCCCCCGCAGGCAACAGCGGGTGCGGGATAGGTGTAATCCCGACAGCGGGATTTTCAGGGTTTTTTTGGTGGAAAACAGGTGTAATCTCGACAGCGGGATTTTCAGGGTTTTTTGGTGGAAAACAGCGCGGACACGTGGCGAAAAGAGAGAGCGTCACCACGCACGTGCGCGCCAAGGCCAAGGCCGCCGCACGCACACGCACGCGCCACGTGCCCACGCTGCCCCGCCCCGCCCCGCTCCCGGATATATTATAAATCCATAGTCTTGCAATTGCAGCCACCGGGGCTTGAACCCGGGCACGCACTGAGCCATGCGCGCGTGTATACCACTTCACCACAGCGCACGTGTGAGCAAGTAGTGGCGTGCGTTGGTGTTGAAGAGGTGGAACGGCAGCTATTT